CCAAGGTTCACCGTTCAGCCAGGGACTGGACAGCCCCATAAAACAAAACGGGACTAATGAGGCACAGCAGTCCAGGGATAAGGGATAGAAGGCAGAACCGGACAGGAAAGCTGGTGATAGGGAACCCAAGGTTGAGTAAGGGCAGTGTTGACGTGTAGTGGGGTTGTTAACTATTGTCATAGGGCAACATGTGTACTAACTGTTTAATAAGAAACTATTTTGTTCTGTAAACCTTTATCTAAAGTGAGAACAGCAGTATAACTGGAAGAGAGTAGCTGATGTCACTGAACTGTGCGTGTAGAAATTTTCACAATGGTCTATCTTTGGCTATGTATATTTTCACCAAAAAAAGGTCGAGAAGGGAGAGGGTTGACATGTCGTGGGGTTGTTAACCAATGTCATAAAACAATATGTGTACTACTATTTCAGGAGAAACTATTTGTTCTGTAAACCTTCACCTAAAGTACAATAAAAAAAAAAAAAAATTTAATTAAAAAAAAAAATTATCCAGCCCAAAACATCAATAGTGAAATCCTGGTCTAGACGGAGACTCCAACTCTCCCTGCACTGTTCAGTAACAAGAGTGCCCTACATTCCAACCAAAGAGCAGTCCCTAATTACAAGGCAGACAAGTGTAACCTCTATCTCCACTTTCTCTTCCCAAGGGCTCCCTGGTATGGTAGGAGAGAGAGAGGCCCAAGGAAGCCTTATATAGCACCAGTCATTGGCAGTTTGGGTTTGGGGCCAGAAGGGCTTACTTTTTAGGTCTATCAACAAAATGGCAAACACACACATACCCACAAAAACCTAACGGAAATTATTAGTCTACTTCTTCCCAGGGTTGTGCCTCTCTCACAATTCATGCACATAAAGATAATTCAATTATGTCAGATAAAAGGCTTTGACAACCTGGAAATGTTTCAATTGCTCTCAAATTTCAGGCTTATTAATATGCTAGAAAGAAGGCTAACCCTCTGCCCTATATAAAAGCTATTGTTCATCTCCTAGACAACAAGTTGAGGGCATGAATCTATTGCTGTTAGGTAATTTGTTTGGCTTAGGTTTTAGAACTGGCTTACTCAGAAGCAATGAGATCAGAAAGGTCCATCCCACAGAGCCTTGGGCCTCCCATGGGGTGCAGACAAAGGGCGAGGGTGGGAGCTGAAGGCAGGGGCTGCAGCCAGAGCAGTGGTACTTTTAGCTATTTCATTTACTATACTTAAGTGATCCTACTTAAAAGAAGAGGTTCTGCTGCCAACATCTTAAAAAAAGGTTTCAAAGACACTGTATTAGCCTTTCTGAACACTAAGGTAGTCCTCAACGTCCTCATGAATTTTGTTTCCACTGTTTCCTTGGAAGCAGACCTTTTGGAACTGAAACATTTTCCTCAAGTAACTGTGGTGTTACATGGTAATCAAGTCCTTAGGCTAGCCAATGACACAGGTGACCCAAGAAAACGCACCGAGTTTCAACTCTGAACTTGGTTACCTCTCCTTGTCTTCCACATCAAGGTAATTCCTTTCAGCTTCAGCTGCTGCTTAAGCTTGTGAGAGGGGACTCCCCATCCCCACTTGGAAGGCCTAAGCTCAGCCCTGGGCCCCCTCTCTTCTTGTTCTATACTCTCTTGCTAGGCAATCTGATCTACATTCAGGACTTTGGTGAGGGTTCTATGAACTGACAATTCCCAAATGTGCTTCTCTAGCCCAAACCTCTCCTGAAGCACCATACCCATTAAAAAAAACAAAAACAAACGAACAAAAAAACGGTTGCTGCCGAGTTGATTCTGACTCATGTCACCTCAAATTCAGTATGTTCAAATTGAACTCAACATCTTCTCCCACAAACGTGGTCCTTCCAGTATTCTCTATCTTAAAAGCCTGAAAGCTTGTGAGCGGCCATGTAAGATACTTGACTGGTCTCACCCCGTCTGGAGCAAGGGAGAATGAAGAAAACCAAAGACACAAGGAAAAGATTAGTCCAAAGGACTACTGAACCACAACTACCACAGCCTCCACCAGACTGAGTCCAGCACAACTAGATAGTCCTGGCTACCACCACTAACTGCTCTGACAGGGATCACAATACAGCATCCTAAACAGAGCTGGAGAAAAATGAAGAACTAAATTCTAACTTATATACAAAAAGACCAGGCTTACTGGTCTGACAAAGACTGGAGAAACCCCGAGTATGGCCCCCAGACACCGTTATAGTTCAGTAATGAAGTCACTCCTGAGGATTACCCTTCAGCCAAAAGACAGGCCCATAAACAAAACGAGACTAAATGGGCATACCAGCCCAGGGGCAAGGCCAAGAAGGCAGGAGGGGACGGGAAAGCTGGTAATGGGGAACCCAAGGTCGAGAAGGGGAGAGTGTTGATGTGTCATGGGGTTGGCAACAAATGTCACAAAACAATATGTGTATTAATTGTTTAACGAGAAACTAGTTTGCTCTGTAAACCTTCATCTAAAGTACAATGAAAAATAAATAAATAAACAAAACATTAGGGGCTTTGGATCAAGACTACCTGGGTCCAAATCCAAACCCTGCCTCTTGCTAGCTGTGTGACCACGGGCAAGTTACTTAATCTCTCTGGTTTTCTTTTTTCCCATTTGTAAAGTGGTGATATAATAGTTCCTACCTGATAGGTTATGAAGATTAAATTAGTTTTTATTTATATAGTGCTGAAAATAGTATCTGACACATATTAAGTGCTAGATGTTTGTTAAAAAATGCAAACAATCAATTGATGCTTGTTGCTAGATTAAGGATCTGGGGAAGCAATGGCCTTTTCCCCAAAAAGTCAAGTATCTTAGGCTCAGTTAGAATCATTAGTCAATGATCATGGCCTGCTTAACTCATCTTACTGGTGAGTATAGAAATTTTTCCCTTTTTTAAACTGGTAGATGACACTCTGGAAAAGACAAATCTAGAGAAATACACATTTTTAAATTTCTCATGAGGAAAGGCTTCTCAGATAAAGACAATAATCCATAGATGTAAATATGCCAAAATACCACCCTGAGTTTGCGGTTTTGTTCCTAAGGTAGGACGACGTTCTCATTCTGCACTCCTCTATGAGAGACCCCAGGCAGAAGTCCTAACAAGCTGGGAGGATGCTGGGACTCCTCTCCACTGGTGACCACTGATTCTGTGGGTATTCTCACATGGCAGCCAAGGACCTTCCTGACAACTTCTCTTCTCACCCCAGGCTTTTCCAAAAGACCCTGAAGCTCCCGGTTAGGAAGACACAACACAACAGATCCCTCTGAGAACTTCATGAAAGCTATAGACTTTCTCCAGAAGAATGCTCAGATATACAATCTCTGAAATTTTGCATATAATTTCAAGGGTTCATGGACTCCCTAAACCATTACTGGACCTTGACTTAAAAGCCTTGGATTTGAACAAATAACCCACTTATGAGAAATGGGTCAAAACAGCACTTATCTTCCTTATAAAATAAGTGCCATAACTACAGACTTCTTAGCTAAGGAAGAATCAGCCCTGTGGACACAAGAGTTCTGCCCATCACTCCACTATGGGGCCATGAGACTTCCTTGCACCTTGCAGGGAGACTGCTGTTCTTCTTGGAAATGGAGAGGCAGCCATCTCTGGTATCACCTGCAGATCTACAATACAGTGCACGTGCCTGAGTGTGTGGTGTCAGCGTCTCCCACACTTGAGGATATGAGAGAATCATGTTCACCAGGGAAGGCTAGCCAGGCTAGTGCAGAAATGAATCATGGCCTATTTCCTGGTCACCTGGATCACGGATACACTTGGCTTGGATGGCTCAGGTTTCTTTACTCAGCAAGGATTAGGGAGTGGGGGTCATTGTCTCTTTTACTTGGTATGGAGTCTATACTAAAGATGCAGCTTCCCCTTCTTTTAAAATGCAAGCTCCTGGGCTGAGAGAACACTACCAACTGAAGCCAAGGGCCTAGCATATGCTCCTTGCTCAGTGCTGGGGTCCCCTGCAGCTGCAGAAGACAGATACCTTACCTGTCTGAGAGCTGCCCCGAAATGAAGGAGCCCACCAGCACACCCACGAAAAACAAGGAGATCGTGAGCGGGGCCTTCCAGTCGTCCTCACACACCAGGTTCCACTGTAAGAGGAGCAGAGGGATGTATCACTCACTTCTTCTTTTTAACTGTTTTAAATTCTAAGGTTTCTTGGAAAATTAAACGAGAACATCCTGCATCCCTGCATGCTTTGTCTACATTACGGACTGGATATGTCCATTCCCTTAGGTGATGGCTCCCCTGGGTAGCAAGGCAAACAGCAGGTTCCCTCTTGAAGGGAGAGTAGGCTCCCCGCATCCTGTTTTCCATAGCTTGAAGCCCCAGTATCTTGCTTCCAATCTGAGGTGGGGAGACAGGCAGGGAGCAAGCACTCTGCCCGCATGCTGACCCTGAGGAAAAGGCAAGGTTTCTCATGCTTGCTTCTAGGAATCTGGGCAGAGCTCAGGGCTGTGGCTGAGGCAGGGCTCCCTTGCTCAGTGAGGTTCAGGCCATGGGCATGAACAGCACAGTAGGGACTCTGGAGCAGGCTCTGGGCCTCTAAGAGTCAAGGCATCCAGCAAAGAGACTGGGGTCAGCAGGCACCATTTGGACCTGTTCCTTCAGCTCTGCTCAGGCCACTACCCTGGGCCCATGGTCCCTGAATCCTTCTGGTGACATCTTGAGTTGCAATCCTTGACCCTGCACACCAACAACACTTGGGTCCAATCATGGCACAGCACTCTGAGCTGGGAGTCAGGAAACTGGGTTCTGGCTTCCATTCTACTGTTAACTGGTTGTCCAACCTCAAAATGCATTTTTTACCCTCAGTACCCGGATTCCCATTTGTAAAACAGGGATTGGGGTGGAGAACAGGCTGCAGTGCTCTAGTTTCCCAGCATGCAACATGTGGGTCCATCTTCAGTTACCATGAACAGGAAAAGAGGTCTGTGGGCATGGGATGGGCACACAGAAGCAGCAGCAGGACACTCCGATATTAGGCTGGCCCAGCCTCACAAGGAACCAAAAGAAGGAAGAAAAACCAAAACAGGAAATTTAGTCGTTCTCCGAAAAATGCTTCTCAGAACAGAGAGGTGGTGCTTAGTAGTAACTAAGAAGCTCTGCAGCCTTCCCAGATAAAACAACCACCCTCCAGGGAATTCAGACGCCTGCCTGCCTGGTGCCTGGCTGCTGGCCTGCCCCCCATGGAGCCTGCTGCCTTCTCAGTAACCAACCGAGGCAGGGGGAGTATGTGCCTCCTGGAATAAAGCATCTCTTCTGGGCCAGTGATGGAGGGAAAAACAGGTCTCCTCGAGTGCCCTGCTGTGGCAGTGTGCACAAAGCCTTTACGTACCCGGCGGGGGGGGCGGGCTACGGTGGAGGTGGGGGTGAGGGTGAGGGATGGTGCAGGAGGAGGGGACAGAGGGCTGCTGGGCATGAAGAACCTCACAGCTGAAGATAAGGATCACTCAGGCTCTGCTGGCTCTCCACTCTAGAATAAGAATGCACAAGGAAAGGCTGAAGGTGGGGGTGGCAATCCCTACCCCAGAGAGGGATTAGGGGTACCCAACCCCCAAATCCAGAGGAAGCCTAGGCTATCAGAAGTCAAGAGTGTACCAAGGCCTGAATGCTCAGGCTATAGCTGCCCAGCCACCAGGGGGCCATCCAACCTTAAGGTGGGTTCCTAGGCCCCACCATCATAGCCTCACACCCCATTTCTCTGGTAGGTGGAAAGGTGCTCCTGGGGCAGTCTCTATCCAGACAGGGCTGCTAAAGCTAGGAAGAGGAGTGGCAGGTGAGACAAAGCTGGCGGAATCTGGTGATGGGATTTCCTCTCTCACTCCACCCCAGTGTGCCGGCCTACGAATGTTAGGCCAGATTATGACTACCACCACGCTTTAATATGATGGGATCTCTTTCACAGCTAGCACGCATTACTTTTGTAGCAACAAAGATGAAAAAAATGAACTAACAGTCAGTAGCCGTTTCTCAACAGGTCTATTATGAGGGTTGAAGATTGATAATAGCTGAGCTAAACTAAAAATCCAAAAGGGCTTCTGCAGTGAGTTCTGAAGTTGTAGCCCCCCACCCCACCCCCAGCTCAGGTCCCCAATATCAAGCTTCTAGGGAATCCTGGGCTGGCAAGGCCAGGTGCTACCTGAAACCACATCAAGCCATGCTCTGTGGCAGGCAGGGTGATTGCAGTGCTCGCCTTCCAATAGGCTCCCAGAACACCTCTCAGGCTCTCACAGCCCCACCTCCTCCACTCAGTTCAGCCTGTCCTCACTCTGGGCAAGTGTGATGAGGCCAGGAAGAACTATGCCCTCCATCCACCACTGACAGTGTTTGATCACTCTCAGGACCTCACTCTGAGCCCTCCAAAAGCAAACATGCACTTAGTACTTCCTTCCTACCAAACATGGGGTCCTGTGAGTGAGGTCAGGAAAAATGAGAAGTCTCAAAAACTAACACAAGGGCAGACATGGAATAGCTCCCAGCCTAGTCAACCCATCCTCTCACCTGTCGACCACCAGATGGATTGCAGTGGGCTCCAGCACTTAGCCTGAATCCTTCTGAGGAGGGGTGGGATGGGAAGCCCACAGGGTCCAGGATAAATACCCCCTGCTTAGCATGTTTATAAAAGTATCTAGTGTTAGTACTGATCTCCTGGTTTCCCAGTCATGACAAAAACAGTTACAGACCAGCTCATCAACGAGCCCACTTGGTAGGGGGGATGGGCTGTACTAGCTGATAACAGGTACCCATGTTGAAAGTGAATGTGTGGGGTCACAAGTTCAGGTCACGAGTCTAGCACCACTACCCCTCAACTTGGTAAGCTGTGAAAGCCAAAAACCAAACCAAATCAGCTGCTGGTGAGTTGATTCCAGCTAATGGCGACCCCACGTTTCAGAGTAGAACCGCATTCCATAGGCTGTGATCTTTTGGAATCAACTCAACAACAATGGGTTTTTTTTTGTGATCTTTTGGAAGAAGTTACTAGGCCTTTATTCCAAAGTTTTGAACCGCCAACCTTTGAATCAGTAGCTGAGCGCTTAATCACTGGTGCCACCCAGGGACTTCTGCTGTGAAAGCAGGCCCAACCTAAAAACTCTGGGAGCAACTCTGGCAAGGGGCCTGGACTTGCCATCCTTCCTGGTCAGAAATGTGCCTCTCAAGTAGCAGTGGTTTCATGGTGTATATATACGTCAAAGCTTTTCAAATTGCGTACTTTAAATATGTACACTTTATTTTACGTCAATCATCTCTCAATAAAGCTGTTAAAATATTTAAAAGAGAGAAATGTGCCTCTTGCACACAGTACGTAATTGCCGCTGCATCTTAGTTATGAGAAATGGAGATATGACCCTGGGACTAAATGTTCTTACCTGTGAGTTAGCTGGAAGGGAACAGAGGTAGGATCATGCCCATAGGGCAGAGATTCCTCCCTGAGGGGGAATATGCCTGACCCTTACAAGGGTCAAACACACTGGTTTAGCACAGCATGTTACTCAATGTCATGTACTCCTACACACACTTTGTCCTGCCTCCTGTTGCAATTAATGGTGGTCCTACTGGATCCTTACCCCACGGCTGTCAGGGTGCTTGCTACTATATCCCCTACAATGTCTGACAGTGCTCTGCACAGAGGAGGACTCAGTAGATGTTTGGTACATAGGTAAATGAGTAAATGGTTGGATTAAAGTGCTGTCAACCTTCAACACCATACTATCCTTTGGGCTTGGTCGTTGGACTTGGCTGACCAAAGCCCAGATGAACCTTGAACTTCATTTTCCAGAATAAATTATTTTCTTTTCTCTCCTACTCCTTGCCCTGTGTCAGTTATTAGACTTGTGACCCAGAGTGTCAGTTCCAGGCTAGCTAGAGAGGGGCTCAATCTGACCACTCACGACCAGATGGGTCTGCTATGACTGTGCATGCATAGGGGGCCTTGGGGCCCAGCAAGTGGCTTCTCTGGCTTGTCATGCAGCTGTGAAGACAGGAATGAAGATATGCACTTCCCTTGAAAGAGAGAAGAAGTCAGCAAAGGCATAGCAATGAGGCACAAGCTCCAGGTCTTTCTGCTTTCTCCACCCCAGAGTTAGCCCTGGCCCTGCCTCCCAGGTTGCTGTGGCTTTTCCTTCAGGCAGACTTGTGGATAAAAGTGGGGGCTCTCCCATCTCCCAAGACTGTCTATGCACGAGATAAGGCTAATGGTCCAGAGAAAGAGGCTATCTAGGACGACAGGGAGGTGTCAGAGTTCTGCCAAGGACTGGGGCAGGGGGCTTCCTGGAAGCAGAGACAGGCAGGTAGTAAGGGGATGCAGAGGCCTGTCAGCTCTTAGTTGAAGGAGCCCCAAGTCATGGGTGCTAGAAGAGTCAGAAGTTTCTAACGAACTTTTCTAGTTGCAGGCTGTGCTGGGATACAGTGAGATCAAAAAGCAGGAAGCCCAGGCAACCTGTGAAATCACGCAGGTTCCCAGAGGAAGGGGCAGTCCTGGGCTGGCAGTGAAGCACTCAGGGATTGGAGAAACACTGCAGGGTGGGGTGGCCGATTCCCCAGAGTGCCAGGGACAGCTGAGGGGCCAGAGGAGGAGGCAGGCCAGCCTAGAAGCAAGTGGACCACCAAACTATTCCTGAAACATGGAGTACAAACCTCTTTCACCTCATAGTGTCCCCTTCTTTCTGTCTATCCCAACACCTTGCTCCAGATTCACAGGGCCAAGCCCCAGTCAAAGAGATAGGGGATTACATTTCCTTTAAAATATTTCAATCAATTCTTTTCAGCCAACCCTAGGTTTTCCTTGTATGAATTAAACTGTCCTTCTTCTCTTGAGTTTCTCAAACTTTAGAGAAGATTTCTTAAAGTATTCATTAATTCACTCAATAAAATTTTTCCTGAGTTCCCCCTCTGTATCCAGCATTGTGGCAGGAATTGTGGGAGATGCAAAGATATATATGCACCACAGATTTAAGTGCTACATATACATGCTTCAACTGCAACAAAGAAAAAAAAATTGAACAGGAGATCTAAGATTTTAGTCTTCTGTTGAAAAACATGAATAGGAATTCATTACCAGTGTACCTGCAAATACATCTGTGTACGATTTAGGGCAGAGGGCAGGCTGGAGACATTTAGAAGGCACAGGACTAGCTGCAGTAGTCAGTAGGCCAGGTCTGGGTTGAAAGAAAATGGGCCTTAGAAAACAGCCAATTAAAATGTTGATGTACCACTTTTCAACAGTGACAGTTCACCTGACAGGGACGAGCAGCCTCGAGGCCAGGTATTACAGCTTCCTAAACAAAGGGCTAAGAAAAGGATTAATCTTGCCTCCCTGCAAAGACTGACAATCTTTAAGTAGATGAAAGGGCAAACAGGTCTTCAGAAACAGCTGAAGCAGCTAAATAAATGGCCAAATACAAAAAACTAAACATTGACATTGGCAGCAACGTACCTCAGGAAATCCCTCTGACATAGCCAGCTTTTGGAAGCTCAGTGCCACCACCACTCTCCGAAGAAGGCAGGATGGGGCCAGAAAAGTGGGAGCGAATCACTAGAGTAAGCCAAAGGACCTTCAGGGATTGAAGCAATCCAAAGAGATACCAAGAGCTTCTCTGACTAGAGTAAACCAAAGGACCTTCAGGGATCAAAGTAATCTAAAGACATACCAAGAGCTTCTTGTGACTTCACTGCCTCCCGCTTCCTTGGGCTGCCAAAGTAGAATTTGTAGGGACTCCCGTGTCATGGAGTCTGGTTCCCTCTCTGTCGCCTCTGCCTGCAACCCCAGGGACAGCCTCTGCTATTACTGCTCTCACTGGCTTCCAGAAGGGTAACAGACTCACTTGTGAGGCTAGAACCCAGGGTTTGCATGGGCTGGAAGTTCTGATTCTCCATGGACTCTTGGGCCACATGCACAGTCTGCCATCTCCACTCATTGCTCCAGCCCCAAACCTAACTGAAGATTTCTCCCTCTTTTGTCAAGTAATGATGCCTCAGAACACTGGAATGATGTCACTAACTAGGAAATTGCAATGGGACTCAGGTCACACTCCCACTACATGTAGATGGAGCTAAGTGGGCACAAGTGATGGAGGCAATCAAATGTCCAAACACAGAGAACACACACACACACACACACACACACACACGCACACACTTGCACAGACAAGTGAGTCTCTAGGGGCAGCTCTCAGACTCCTTTGAGGGGTGACGGCCCCCAGAAGCAACATACTCAAGGCCTGCAGGTGGGAACCTCTTTGAAGCTCCAGGAGGGAACCTCAGTACATGCTTCCAGCATGGTTTGATGACATACCAGGACCTCTAACAACCTTCCCTTTAGCCCCCTCCCTGTGAACCCGGCCCTTCTGCTACGGTGAGTTTCTTGTGGTTCCAGACCTTGCATCACCTCTGGGCCTTCACCTCAGTATTCTGCCATAGGAGCACCCCAGACTCACTGAGAGGCCTCCTCCTTCAGGAAGCCTTCCCTAGTCCAGAAAGCTGGAGAGGTAGCCCTTTCATGTACTCCACAGACCTCATGTCTTTCCTATCTTGGTACATACAACGGAGTCCTGTGACTGTCTACTAGTCTATCTTCTCTCCTGGCAGTGGGCGCTTTGAGGACACTGGGCCTGTTACCGAGCAGGCACGGGCCTGACACTCAGTGAACCTGGGTACCCTGGTGCCTATCAAGGAGGGATTCTTTTCACTGCACTGCTTGCTCAGTTCTGCCGAGACTCCAAGGAGACAGACTGCCAGTGTCAGAGTAGGACACAAAGCACATCCACGTGCATCCAGGAGCATCATGTCACATAGCCAGCTCTATCGACTGGGGGTTCACTTGGGGACAGACAAAGCCACCCAAAAGGAAAGTCCAAGGGGCTGGGAAATGAGAAAGGTTTTCTCCTGCTTTCTCACGAACTGACGCAGTATGCTTTAACAAAATCTAGCCAATGACTTTGCTTCAAAATACCCTAGGCAACTCTCCACGTCAAGAGGTCACCCTAAAGAGATCTTCAGATGCATGGGTCCTAAAGGTCTAATAATTAACCATGAGCTAAAATTAAACAATACCTTAAGCGATACGGCCAGACTCATTTTGGGGGTAAGGACAAGTAGGGGAAAGAGTAACTGGAAAAAGGGGGAGAGAGTTTTATACACGTTTTCTTTAACTTAAAAAGTTGAGCAAAGAGAAGGGGTATTTCCCCTCTCTCTAGACAGATTATAAGACGCTGGAGGAAAAAACGGTAACAGCCCCTTGACCCAAGTCCTTGCTCTGATTCACCCTCATCTAGAGGAAGTCCCTGACTACTCAGGGCCTTAGGCGCCTGTGGAGTATCTCCCAGGGGCGGCCAGAACATTCTTGGCTCCTGCCTATGGTGGCCATCAGGATGGGTGGCCAGCCTGACATTCCTGCTGTGAAGGACACGCTGCAGCTTAAAGTCACTTTGCAAACTGTTGCCAAGACAGCTAGCCGGAAGATGCCCATCACGAGGGGGTAGTGAGTGACAGCGTCCAGCGAATACCTGGCGCGGGGTCGTGGGTCCAAGGACCGCGAGCGCGCCTGCCGCGCCCCAGTCTCTGGCCCCGGCTGGAGGTGGGGGTGGGACCCACCTCGGTCACAATGGTGGACAGATAGACATCCTGGCTGAAATCCCAGCCGTCCAGGCATCTCTCCTGCTCCAGCTGCGTCAGGTTAACGTCACGTCCCGGCACCAGCCCGAGCGCCGAGAAGTTGGCGAGCGTGGCGAGCCTGTAGCGGCGACAGTTGTGGGGCACCTCCTGGCCGTCCTGCAGCCGCAGCGGGATACTGTGGTTGCGCCACGCGCTGCTCAGGTTCGCAGAGTCCGGCACCCGGCAGTAGTGCTCGGGGGTTCCTATCAGGAACACGGCCGAAAGGCCGTTGAAACCGTTGGGGATGATGCTGGCGCTGAGCAGGAAGAAGATGAGGCGCTGGAAGGGCCCCCACTCGCCCAGGAAGGCAGTTACTTCGTCGTAGTCCCGCATACTTCCCTCAGCAGCGCTGCCCCTTTGCGGGGGGTCGCGGTACCCAAGGTCGCGCGGAGGCGGGGCGCGGCGGACGTCTGGCGTGTGCGCGTGCGCGCCGGGCGTCCAGCCCTCGACAGACCGAGGGACAGACGCGGGGCCGGTCCGCGGAGGAAGCAGATTTGTGAGCTCCCGCCGCTACAGCGGCTCCGGCCCCCGCGGTCCGGCCTTACATACGGCGCGAGGCGAGGGCGGGTTCTGGGCCTGGCCGCAATGCCCGCCCCGCCGGCCGTCAGTACGGCACGGATGGGGCGGAGCCAGGGCGTGGCCCGGCATGCTGGCGGGTGGGCCGGCCCGGCTTAACGGCAGGGTTGCAGTCGGTGGGCCAAGCTCTGAAGGTATAGCCGCCGTAGTCCAGGCTCGGTTTAGGAAGACAGCGGGATTTGGGGTCTCCGCGTTGGAGGCCGAGCTTGCTGGGGGCGGGTGGGTTAACGGACAGCGAGGCTCAAGTATTAAAAAAATTCACCAACCTATTAAAATTAAAAAGGGCAGTCACATCCGCTCCTTTGTGGCACATTGGTTAAGGCACTCGGCTGCTAACCGAAAGGTCGACAGTTCGAATCCACCAGCTGCTCCTTGGAAACCCTACGGGGAGGTTCTGCCCTGTCCCTTAGGGTCACTATGAGTTGACATCAACTCGACGGCGATGGGTTTGGTTTGCTTTTTGATTTAACATGTTCAAGCAAATGTAGGAATTTAACTTCAAGGTGATTGAAGAATTCACTCAGGGATTAAATGCTTGCGTCAGATTAGGTACTTCTACACAGGGGTAACTTGGGAGTTGACTGGCAATTAAAAAAACAAAAAACCCAAGTAGGTGATTCTAAGGCAGCGCTATCCAATAGAATAAGGAACTACATTCGTAACGTAAATTTTTCTAGTAGCCATATTAATAAAGTTGCCAGATTTAGCAAATAGAAATATAGAGTACCCAGCTAAATTTGAATTTTAGATAAATACCAAATAATTTTTTAGTATGAGAAAGATGCGGCAGTCTGCTTCCATAGACATTTACAGCCTCCAGAACCCTACGGGGTCGCTATGAGTTGGAATCCACTCGATGGCAATGGGCTTGGTTTTTGGTTTTATGTCCCAGATAGATCCAAAACAAAAAACCAAACCTTTTGCGTGGATTCCAACTCGTAGCAACCCTATGAGACAGAGTAGAACTGCCCCATAGGGTTTCCAGGAAGTGGCTGGTGGATTTCAACTGCTGACCTTTTGATTAGAAGTTAAGCTCTTAACCACTGTGCCACCAGGGCACTTCTCCATGTAGAGACACCTGAAATTCAAATGTAACTGAGTGTCTTCTATTTTATTTGGCAACCGTGCTGTCATGGATTAAATTGTGTCCCCCAGAGATATGTTATCAGTTTTGCTAGGCCATGATTCCCAATATTGTTTGATTGTACACCATTTTGTCATCTGGTGTGATTTTCCTTTGTGTTGTAAATCCTACTGCTATGATGTTGATGGGGTGGAATTAGCAGCAGTTATGTTAATGATGCAGGACTCAATCTACAAGATTAGATTGAGTTTTAAATCAATCTTTTTTGAGATATAAAAGAGAGAAGCAAACAGAGAGATAGGAGGACCTCATACCACCAAAAAAGCTGTGCTGGGAGCAGAGCGTGTCCTTTGGACCTGTAGTCCCTCTGCCTGAGAAGCTCCTAGACCAGGGGAAGATTGATGACAAGGACCTTTCTCCAGAGCCAACAGAGAGAGAGAGAGAGCATTCCCCTGAAGCTGGCGTCCTGAATTTGGACTTCTAGCCTACTAGACTGTGAGATAATAAATTTCTCTTAGTTAAAGCTATCCACTTGTGGTATTTCTGTTGTAGCAGCACTAGATAACTAAGACACCTCCATATTAAAAAGGTAGAAAGAAATGGGTGAAATTAATTTTAATAATATGTTTATTTAATCCAGTATATTCAGAACATTATCATTTCAACATGTAATCAATATAGAAATTACTGAGATATATTCTTTTTTTTTTCATAGTAAATCTTAAGAATTCAGTGTGTATTTTATAGCATATTTCAATTTGGATTAGCCATACCTCAAGTGATCAGAAGTCACTTGTAGCTAGTGGCTGTTTTATTGGACCAGTTTACCAGTTCACCAGGCCTCTTTTCTGAGATGCCTGTTGGTAGACTCTAACCTCCAGCCTGTCAGTTAGCAGCACTGGTAACCTATTGAATTGTTTTCAGATTGTATCAAGAGTATTTTCTGATGCCCAGTTGGTATTTCCCTCAAGTTAAAATAAGACTCCTTTTTATTGGACAGTACAGTTCTAAGGCTTTTAAGAATTTGGGCTGCTAAATTTAAGATTTCTGTATGTTATGATATATAATAGTAGTTACAATAATAATAGTGGCTTATTGTTGTTATGTGCCACCAAGTCAAATCTTTACAGGAGCAGATCACAGGTCTTTTCTCCTGTGGAACTGCTGGCTGGGTTTGAACCACCAACCTTTTGGTTAGCAGCTGAGCAGTTAACTGTTGTGCTTCCAGGATCCCTAACAGTGGCTTAGTGATAGGGTAAAAAAATTAATTGTATATTTTTAAAATGTAATCTGTTGGATAAGCAGTATTTAATAACTATAAATAAGTTGAAAATAAAAACACAGAAGGGGGAACCAACTTTGCCAGCAGGTTTTACACAAGGAAGTATAAACATTTCCATAAAGCATAGTAGATTTAAAAAAGATAAAAAGTGTTTACCCAGGTATTGATCATTTTTGTTACACTTACTGTTCAGTATTCCTGTTTCCTGAAGATGAATGGCCGTGCCTTCAGAAATGTACTTAATCCTTTTTAAACATATTTTCTCAAGTAACAGTCCTTTTCTGGAACTGAAAAGGAAAAACAAGCTTCTTGAAAATAGACCTATTTCTTGAATCAATTCTAAAATATTGTTTTGATATTAAAACAAATGAAGACTTACACTGAGGAGAATGCTGATCTGGGTCCTGACCAAACAGGTCAAAAAGTCTTATTTTAACTTGAGGGAAATACCAACTGAGCATCAGAAAATACTCTTGACAGAATTTGAAAATTCAGTAGGTTACCAAAGAACTTGAAGATCATTCAGGGGAAAACAAATCATTTGCCATAGATGGCTTGTCCACATGCACAAAGCAAACAGCAACCTGAGGAGGTGCCTTCCAGTTCTGGGTGGCTCTGTGATTATTATCCGAATGTCATTATTATTTAAATTATATCTTTTAAAAGAATTTCAGAATCTCAGAGAATGAGTTACCTGAGGCCCTTTATCCCTCAAGATTCTGAATTAGGATGTCCCTATTTTATATATAAAACCAAAACGAGTTGCTGTGGAGTCGATTCCGTCTCATAGCGACCCTATAGGACAGAGTATAACTGCCCCATAGGGTTTCCAAGGAATGGCTGGTGGGTTCAAACTGCTGACCTTTTGGTTAGCAGCTGAACGCTTAACCACTGCCCCGCCAGGGCTCCATTTTATATATAAGAGAGACAAAGAAAACAAAACAGAAACCTAATTTACACAGCAGATAATCAGATTCAGGGTTAGAACCCTGGATTAAATGGATTCAAACCCTAGCGGATATGGTAGCCGGGCTCCAAGATGGCACTCGATGATTCTTGCTTCCTAGTGTTCATGCCCTTGTGTAGGCTCCTCCCACATTGTACCGGGGTTCGTTTATGTGACCAATAGCATACAGCATAAGTGATGATATGTCACTTTCAAGATTGTGATATAAAATACTAGCTTCCATCTTGGGTAATCTCACATTCTTTCTCTGTTGCTCCAGGCAAATAGAAACTAATTGTAACTTGGATGGCTACTTGCAAGCTTTGAAGACTCCAGGTACTGTGCAACAAACTAGGAGGTAGAACAAACGCACTAAACACAATATTAGGCCAATTAACAGGGATGTCCCATGAAACCATGACCCTAAACCCCCAAACCAAGATACCAAATCCCATGAGGTGTTTGGTTGTGCATAAGCAACCTCAGCAGTTGTTCTTTTTGTTGTTGTTGTCAATATATCTATCACACAACTTCTGTCAATTCAACGTTTTACAGGTATACAGCTTACTAACAACAATTACATTAATCAGCTTTGCAACCCTACTCTTAATGCGATTTTTCCATCATTGCTAATACATGAGTTTTTAAAAATTGCTTTATTGTGGTAACAATAAATATAACAAAACATTTGCCAGTTCACCATTTTTTTTTACCGTATGGTTCAGTGACATTGATTACATTCATGTTGTGCAACGATTACCGCTATCCATTTCTAAATGTTTCTACCACCATTAACAGAAACTCACTGCCCCCTAAGCAATGACTCTTCCTTTCCCCCTCCCTCCCACCTCTAAAAAACCAAAAACCAGTTGCCAGTTGAGTCAGTGGCAACTCATGGCAACCCTGTGTGTGTGTTTTCAATGGCACCTCTGGGTGAATTCGAACCTCCAACTTTTCGGTTAGCAGCCAAGTGCTTCGTGCCACCCGGACATGTCTTTCCACCCCTACCCCCCAGTAACCACTAATAAACTTTGGTCTTTATACATTCGCCTATTTTGTAAGTGGGATCATACAATGTTTGTTCTTTTGTAACTGATTTACTTCACTCAGCATAATGTTACATAGATTATTTGAATAGAACAATATGTTGAATTCTGATCCAGAAGAATAAATATAACTCCATGATTTGTTTTACTTTCTATGCCACAGAATAGAACTTTACAGATGACTCAACCTTGTAATTACTTCCATGATAGGAGACAATATGGTGTGTTGGTTAAGACCATAGCCTCTGATTACAGTAGAAAGACCAGTATTCAGTTCCTAACTTTAATTCCTAGCTTGTGACTTTGGGAGAGTTTTCTTTTAATTTTATTGTGATTTAGGTGAAAGTTTACAGCTCAAGTTAATTTCTCATTCAAAAATTTATACCCATATTGTTTTGTGACATTGGTTGCAACCCCCACAATGGGACAGCACTCTCCCCCTTTCCACTCCGGGTTCCCTGTGTCCATTCATCCAGTTCCTGTCCCTTCCTGCCTTCCCTTCTTGCTTTTGGACAGGAGTTGCCCATTGGGTCTCATATA